CGCTCAGTCGTGTCCGACTCTTTGCGACCCCATGAATCGCAGCACACCAGGCCTCCCTGTCCATTACCAACACCCAGAGTTTACTCAAACTCATGTCCATTGAGTCGGTGATGCCATCCAGCCATCTCATCCTCTGTCGTCCCCTTCTCCTCCTGCCCCCAATCCCTCCCAGCATCAGGGTCTTTTCCAATGAGTCAACTCTTCGCATCAGGTGGCCAAAGTATTGGAGCTTCAGATTCAGCATCAGTCCTTCCAATGAACATCCAGGACTGATCTCCTTTAGGATGGATTGGTTGGATCTCCTTGCAGTCCAAGGGACTCTCAAGAGTCTTCTCCAACACCATAGTTCAAAGTATCAATTTTACAGCGCTCAGCTTTCTTCACAGTCCAACTCTCACATCCATACATGACTACTGGAAAAACCATAGCCTTGACGAGATGGACCTTTGTTGGCAAAGTAATGTCTCTTACTACACTCAAAATGATCTACAAGTTCAGTGCAATCCTTAGCAAGACGCTGATAGTTTATGGTGGTGATCTCTAAAGATTTAGCTTCCAGGCTTGATTACTCAGAGCTTTTGTGTGTAAAAATTTTACTACAGTGAAAAAGAGCAGAAAGCTTCTGACACAGACATCAGAAAGGGGATGGAGAATGCCCCTCACTAGTGTTAGCAAGAGAGCTATATATTTTTTCAATTGGTTATTAACAATAAATCAAAAGAATGTCTCAAGTTTGTAAAGGTCCTACCAGACCCACTCCCACAATTTACATTTTAAGATGGCAGGATTAGTCAGAAGGTTCTTAAGAGAAACATGTCCTCAAGCAAGACACCTTGTTGTTATATAATCATTGGTACAGAGTTTAAGGAAAAACGTATCTGAGAGCAAGATGAATTGTTTTGTTGTATAATCATCAGCTCTGGGCTTAAACAAAAAAATGTTTTATGTCACTAACATGAATGAATGTAGAAAAAAGTCTGTCCTTTTCTCCTCCTGGGGACCCCCAGACTTATCAATGTACCTAAGAATTAACTCTTTCAATACCAACTACCTTCCCCTGCCGTCCCCTCCCTGAAATGGAAAAGCTGGTCTTAAAATTCGTGAGGAATTCCAAGGGACACTGACTAATCAATAAACCTTTAAAAAGAACAAAGTTGGAGAACTCATACATTCTGATCTAAAAACTCATTATGATAAAGCTACAGTAATCAAAACTGTGTGCTACTGCCATTAGGATAGAAAAATAGACCAACATACAAGAAAGCTCAAAATAGACCCATACATCATTGTTCACTGAATTTTCAATAGGGGGTGCCAAGACAATTCAGTGGGGAAAGAATATGATGCTCAGTCACTAAATACTCACATGCAAAAAAGAATGACACTGAAATCTTACCTCATACCACATACAAAAGTAAGTTCAAGAAAGGCCAAAGAACTAAATGTGAAAGTGCAAACTATAAAACTTTTAGAAGAAGAAAACATATTGTTAATTCATAACCTTGGACTTGATACTAAATGCTTAGATAGGACACCAAAGAAAGCACCAAAACAAACAAACAAACAAAAAAAAAAACTGATAAACTGGACTTCGTTAACACTAAAACTTCTGTGCATCAAGACACAATCACGAAAGTGAAAAGAGAGCCCACAGAATGGGAGAAATTTTCAAATTATACATTTGATCAAGAGTACTGTGTCCAGAATTTATAAAGAACTCTTACAACTCAATAATAGAACAGTCATCCTGATTCAAAAATAGGCAAAGGATTTGCACAGACATTTCTTAAAAAAAAAAGTATATATAAATGGCAAATAAGGATACAAAAAGATGCTCTACATGATTAGTCATTACGGAAATGCAAATCAAAACCATAAGATACAACTCTAAACCCACTAGGATGTCTACAAACAACAGGCAACAAAACGGAAATTAACAAGTATTGGCAAAGACACGCAGAAGTGAAGCTCTCCGACATTACAGATAGGATGGTAAAATGAGGAGCTGCTGTGTCAGTTCCTCAAATGGTTAAACAGTACTACGTGACCTAGCAATTCTATTATATACCTAAGAGGACATGCTCACCAAAAACATGGACAAGAATGTTCACAACAGGTTAATATTCATATTAACCTAAAAGTGAAAACCATCCAAATACCAAATGACATTATCAATTGCTAAGTGAATAAAGGAAAATTCCATTCTGTGCATTTTGCATATGCATAAAATAGAATATTCACCCTTAAAAAGGAATAAAATTTGACACATGATACAACATGGATGAACCTTGAAAACATGCTATGTGAAAGAAGCCAGACACAAAATGTCACATACTGTATGATTCCATTTATATGAAATATTCAAAATAGGCAAATCTACAGACAGAGAAAGTACATTACTGGTTTCCAGGGGATGGGGATGGGGAAATTGGTAGTGACTGCTAATGGTGATGGGGTCTATCTTTTGGGATGATGGAAATGTTCTAGAATTGATGCTAATAGTTGTACAATTTTGTGAATAAACTAAACATCACTGAATTGTACACTGTGGAATAGTTAAAATGGTGACTTGTATCTCAATATAAAAAATCTACCTAAGTTTAAAAAAAACTGTGACAAGATATACCTAATTAAATGGATCATTTTAACCATTTTTAGGTTAGTTCAATGGCATTGAGTACATTTACACTGTTGGGCAACCAGCCTCACCATCCATCTCCAGAACTTTTCTTGCAAATCTTTGCAACTCCATGGACTGTAGTCCACTAGGATCCTCTGTCCATGGGACTTTCCAGCCAAGAATACTGGGGTGGGTTGCCATTTCCTTCCCCACGAGATCTGCCAGACCCAGAGATCAAACCCATAGTTCCTGAATCTCTTGAATTGCAGATTCTTTACCACGGAGCCACATGGAAAGCCCCAAACTAAAACTCTATCCATTATATAATAACTTTCCACTTCCATTTCCCCCAAGTCCTGGCAACCACTGTTCTACTTTCTGTGTGAATCTGACTAGATATTTCATATAAGTGGAATCATACAGTATTTGTCCTTTTGTGACAAAAATATGAGTCCCGCTTATTTCACTTAGCATAACATCTTCAAGGTTCATCCATGTTGTAACATGTGTTACAATCCTTTTAAAGGCTGAATAATATTCCATTTGTGTATATACCATATTTTCTTTATCCACTCACACAACAATGGACACTTGAGTTCTTCCACCTTTTGGCTACTGTGAATAATGCTGCTAATAAACATGGGTGTATAAGTAACTGTTTGTATCCCTGCTTTTTAAAAATTTTTTAAAAAGTTGTGAACTCATTTTGAAGATTTTGAAATGAAACTAATTTTGAAAATTCACATATGTTTTGCATTAGCTTAAGGACTAAAAATTTATTTTAGCTGAAAGTCACCAAAGGAGAACCTAAAGATCAATGGTACCATTTGCTTTAAAGAAATACAAAAGACATAAAAGTATCCATTGCAAATTTATTATGCATTAAGAAGCTTAACTTAAAAACCAACAGCATAGTAAAAAAAGATATGTTATCTTTGTTCATAGCAGAACAGGTTTCAAAATATATTTTCTTTTAAATGTATTCAGTCAGTACACAATCCTTTATAAAAGTTGTATATATATTTTTTCTGTCAATACTTTCATTATATTTATAAATACAAGATTTACACAGCACCCCATCAAAAAAAATTAAAACTCTTTATGATATAGCTACATATATTTCATACCTATAAAACTTTCAAAGGAGTGCTATGTTAAAGTTGGGCCCTAGTTAATGCTCCACTTACTCGTGCAGCAAAACACACATAAATCTAAAGTTTTCTTTGTCCATAAAACATCTTGAAAAATTAGCAAGACACTTGTGAAACTGAGCTTCTTAAACCCATATTTTAGAAAGGGATTTGCTGTGCATATTCCTATGAGATTCAAAAGGCAGATAACAGATGAAAACAAAGGCTGAAAACAAATGCCTACATAAAACAGTTAAGGTGGGGATGTGATGAATTAGAAACACTGAAAAGCAGGACACAGGATATGTGGGTGGGAGTAAATAGTAATAAAACATGACGTGAGTCTAAACTTGGATATAAACTCCACTGGTATCCAGTTGCTAACTCTCATCTTCACTTAGGAATGTTTACATTGTTGAAAACGTTCTTACAAGCACCCTCTAATTTCTATGTTGCCACCAGAATGCTTGATGTATGTTTTTCTTCTGTAAAATCGCCATGGATCTAACCAAGACATTAGGTCCAGGAATCTGAACTGCTAGTTCTTCATGATTTAAATTTATTAAAAATTTTTCCTTCCTCTGGTAAAGGTATTAAATAATACTAATCAGTATTGTTACTATCCAGAGGTATATATGCTGAATGTCATTCTAGCCAAGAATAGGAAGCAGAGAAGAAAAGGAGAGTAAGACTAGATTTTTGCTGATCTTAGAACAAAGGCAACAGATCCCTGACTGAGTGACTCCTGAAGCAGCCACTTATAAACAGCTATGGGATAAATGCACACAGTTCAGAGGAACGGAAGAGGAGAAAATATGGGATTTTTTATCTTAAATTTTGTCAGAGACAGCAGTTGTATTACAATCCTGCACCTTTTGAAAAGGACATGATCACTCCTACACTGACATTATTAAAGGAAAGCCATCATTTCTACCACAGATGACTACTTCTATTTGAGTCTCTGAATGTGGATCCCAGATAACTTTGAGAGCTGCATATTATTTGCAGGAAAGTATAACATTTCAAATCTTAATTAGTTCTAACGTATAATGAAAGGAAAAGGAAAAGAATGGTGGAAAAGGAACAGGAGGACGAAGGGGAGGAAGACAGAGGGATGGAGGTGGTTACTTCTCAAACTCAGCCCTGAAGGACGCCACTAGTATCTCCCCTCCAGCACCATGAAGTCTCCATGTGGTGTGGCTCCCCCATGACTCTCAGAGATGGTGTCCACAGGATCCTTTCTGCAGAATTTACAGCTCAGTGCACTGATGCCCAGGCTCTTCAAGGGAAGAAAGCTCCCAGATGCTGCTGTCCTGAAGCAGTGGCTCAATGTCCTCAGCACTGCCCCGTTCTGGAGTGTTGGCCAGGCTGCCACTGATACTGCTGCTGTGTTTTTGAATTCCACTGCCTTTACTGTACTCAGGGATGAATACAGCAACCAGGAAAGACATAAAAACTATACACGCCCCAAACAAAAATGGCGGGCCTGGGATGACAGCTCCCTGGTGGGTGTGGAAACAAATGAAGATGAAGAATTTGGTTAGCCTTTCAAAGTGAAATTAGTACTGGATAAACCAAAAAAAAATAAAAACCACACCATTGGAAAACAAAAAAAACCACACCATTGAAAAGTGAGTTATTTTCTCATTAGCAAATGTTCATTAACTGTCATGGCAAATTCTAACAAAGTCTTGTGTCTGGAATATAATGGAGGGCAATTAATCACTGCTTTGTGCACCACTTCCTGACAGCTTAACCAAACATGTATGCAACAGCTGTTTATCTCTAATCTTGCCCTGAGAACTGAGATCATGCAGTCTGTATACATAAGAACATTAACTCCAGTTTTGTACAGAAATCTATATTAAACATAGACTGGAAGGAGGGAAATAACAGCAAGTAAAAGGTAGAAAGAGCACTTTAGCTCAATTTGTAGCTGGAAGTTTAGGTCATTTCATCTTTTACTTGGCCTGAGTTTCACCAGAGGATAGCATTTTGACCAGAGAAATGATGTAGGTGAAAACAGAATCTGAACAAAGGCAGGACAAATATTTTACATAAGACATTATCACTGAAATGATCCCTCCCTAGTCCCAAGAAGCAATGAACACAACACTTACTATTGTCAAATACAATAGTAATATTATAAAACTAAGAACACTTTCCAAATTTAAGGGCACAAGATTTTGCTCTAATCAGATACAACTGTTAAAAACTAGGCTTATTACCAAATTACCTGTAGGTCAGCATTGTTAGAAATCAATTCTGGTTCCAACTCAGTCAGTTCCACATGGAACATGTAGAATATGAAGCCATACAAGGCTGGTCCCAGTCCATTACAGAGTCCTCTTATTCCAGTTATGATACCCTGGGCAACTCCTGAGTCAGAACAAAGAGAAGGGAGCCAGTCTTCTCAGAAAAGCATCTCAAGATAGGAGACTTAAGAGCCCTTTCTTTCAAACTATAAAATACTGATTAAACTGGACTGAGTACCCATCATACTGATATCCATTCATTGTACAAATGTTTCCTTGTCCTTTTCTATGCCCTTATAATGCTGTACTCACTATCTGTCCTAAGGATCTACAAGGATATGAAATGACACCGATGTTTCTAAAATCCCTTTGAGGCTGAATTCCCCCTGAACAACAGATCTTCCTATAAACAGGGAATGATAAAATGAAAAATTTTAATACTCTCAATTTATAGGCAATTTCTACTTTTTTGTGGATTGAGATTTTCCTCTTCTGCTTATTTAATGGTGCTTTTACAATAAAAATCTGTCCTTTGCCTCTTGTATCCCTGCCCAAGTGTCAGTCCATAGGGGTCCTGAATCTGTGTGCTTCCAGCACCTCCTGACAGATTCTGTTCCTCACAATGATCGCTGTACCCCAAGTACACCTGTACTGAAAAATCCCAGAAGCGTCAATTTCTAGGTATCTCTGGTATCTCATGTGGCAGGTAAAAATTATCTTGAATCATGAGATGGATGTTTCTGTAAGTCAAAAACGGTCAAATATAATTCAACCTAATATACTGTGTTCTAATAAGTTTATATGCTGACATTTAGAAACATCCGTATTAATACCATGCAAGCATAAAAAAACCCAAAGCAAATTCATGCAGTGAGAGACAAAGATAAGAGTCTCTTAGAGCCAAGGCAATGCCCATCCTTCATGGATAGCTCATGCCTTTACTTCAACCACATCTCTCAAGGATGCAGTCAACTAAGTTACCATAACCAGGGTAACACACAGATTTGTCTTCAAATGATACTGCCATATTTAAAATAGATAACCAGCACAGATCTGTTGTAGAAAAAAAAAATTTAAAAACAAAAGTAGATATGAGTAAAATGGCTATTTCCAATGTGAAAAAAATAAGTGCAACCAATAAACTATCCTTTCCAATCTAGGTTTTTTAATTGAAACTTTATAAAGATCTCTAAGACATAAAATTTTTTTCTTCTAAAATTCACTATTTCCTGACTATAGTCAGGTAAACCACTAAGTGATGGAGAAGGAAAATAATTTTAGCAGTAAGAAGTACCTGATAGGGAAGCCAGAGGCACAAGAAGGATGAAGGGTCTAGACATTTACAGTGCTACTCTACATAATCATCTTACTTTTGTCTCTCACTCTGCATCCAATTATCAAAAACTACACAGATTTATCTGCTCTTTATCTGCTCAAAGAATCATTTTCTGAACTGAGTAAATAATGGACTTTGAGTGATTCCAAATTAAAGAAACTTCAGTGATTACAAGTGATTAAATAAAGGACTCATGGCTTTTCAAGCTTTTCTATCATTATTTAATAGATATTTGTTAAAATATGAGTATAGTCTAGTAAATTCTGATGGTACCATAAAAGAAGAGTCAAAACTGAAAAGAGAAATTAGATAGTTGTATTTCTAAGTATTCTGACTTGCTGTGTCCAGATTTCAAAAATGAGTATAAAATCAAAGCAGGAAGGAAAAGAGAATTTTCCTATTTGCCAACGTAAAGAGGTATGATTGCTCAGCAGGGACCACACAGCTGTAACCTGTCTCTATGCTGATGTGGAAAGAGGCTCAGAGATGCTCACGCTCCTGGCAGGTACATCTCCACTGAGGGAAAGAAACAGTGAGGGGGACAGTGGCCTCACCTTGCTGATTTGACTCTGCATTCTGAGAGACGAGGGTACTGACTGCTGGAAACGTAATGCTGGACACGGCGGCCACAATCCCTGCTGCCCACATCATCCTGCAATGACAGGTCAGGCTGCGGTCAGGGGGCAGGCCAGCCCCAGTGACAGTGCTGTTCAGAGTACAAGTGGCAAAAGCACAAAATGCTTTCTGTTGTCTTGTATTAAGTTGTATTTATTTTTTTCCTCTTTGACATTTTTTTTTTTAAACCTAGAAAGTTACACAGCACACTGTTAATACCAATACTGATCACTTCATGAGCTGGGAAAGCTTCATTTCTTTATCTTACCTGTCAAAATATGTTTTTCTTCCTGGTTTCTCTATTGCCATCTTTAAATGCAAGCTCAATGAAATTCAAAAGGATTCCTTGTTCCTATAAATCCACATTTTTTCTCACCAACTTTCCATTTTTCTCTTGTACTTTTCAAAGGCTGACCTCCAAACTGCCCTTAGGCTGCTCAGTTTTTCACCCTCAATAAAGTGTTGTGTGCAACCAACAGAAAAAAACGGAGGCCTGAAGTTCAGGATGACATCGTGCAGACTTCCAAGTCTGCTTCCTTTAGACCTGCATCTCAGTGAAAGGAGCCTATGTTCCTTTGAACTTATGTGTGTGTTAGTATTAAGCGTGAGTGTGAGCAAAGTCCAGTGCCAACTGAGCTAGAAACCTGTTTGACCAGAATGTCTTGGGGATGACAAGAATAACGTTACTTAAAAGGAAAAACCCTTTAGGTCAATAGAATCAGCTGTTGAACCAAAGTTCATAGGACTAAAATTAAGGTTTCCAAGAACAAGAAGAATCTACCACTAACCACCTAAAGCATTTCAAGTTCTAAACTGTGTCATTCATTTTTGGTTGTAAAATCAGGACCAAGTCAAACATTTTAAATGAAGATATGAACCGTAGTATTTGGTAATAGGCACATAAGGAAACTTGCCACACAACAAAACAGCACTCACTTCTTTTTATTTTTTCTTATTCCACAGGGCTTAATTTGACTTGCTTTCCTATTAACAGGAATCTAATTGTTAGAAGTAATAAGACTGCCTCTGGGTACAGAAGCTTTTGGAGGAGATCTTAGTGTTCATCTAACTCACATACTTTATATTATAAAGATTATGTCACTGTCCAATGTAACTCAGCTAATTATAGCAGTAAATCCTGCCATAATCAGTCATTTTTCCTTGTTTCCTTGTTTTGTTTTTGACTATACATGCTGTCACCAAAAACTGACAAATGTGTTTAACAATTAGGCATAAAACTTTTTTTTGGAGGGTTGGAGAAAGAAATACATATATTTAGTTAAGTAACATCTCACTGAAAGCTTGCTGAGGTGAAGGCAATCTGTCTGAATAAAGTGGAATTATCTAGCTGTACCCTTCCTCAAGCTAAGGCTAAAGAGTTTCTGAAATTTTGAATACACTATGCTAGTAAAATAACTCCTGCTTCTTTTGCATGAACACTCAGCTAATTGAAGCTCCTCTAAAAGATAAATCTGTCATGAGAATCTATCGGAGAGACTTACCATGCTTGAGATCCAAAACCGTACCAGGCTAGCTGGAACATTTGGAAGCCCAAACCAAGGAGAACAGTGTTCTTATTCCCTAATGCTCTCATCAAGCTAGTAAGAAAGACCGTCTGCAAAGCAAAGGGGATAATCATTAGAAATCATATAAGCACAGAAATTTCATGCAAGCTCTGTGAAAAAGCCCATTAATGGTGACCAAGAACCTCTAATTGCAGCCCACTTGACCTGAGACCTTGGAAACCACACAGAACTGACGCAGCTCTAAAAGCAGTGAAGCTTCAAGGACTTCCCAAACTGACTTGGGCTCAGGGCCTCCAGCCTCCTCCCGAAGAATCTGTTTATGTGCTGCTTCTTGTTGTTCAGTCACTAAAACTCTTTGACCCCATGAACTGCAGCACATCAGACTTCCCTGTCCTCCACTATATCCCGGAGTTTGCTCAAACTCATGTCCACTGAGTCTGTGATGCCATTGAACCATCTCATCCTCTGTTGCCCCATTCTCCTCCTGCCTTCAATGTTTCCCAGCATCAGGGTCTTTTACAATGAGTTGGCTCTTTGTTATCAGGTGGCCAAAGTATCAGAGTTTCAGCTTCACTCCTTCCAATGAATATTCAGGGTTGATTTCCTTTAGGATTGACTGCTTTGACCTCCTTGTAGTTCAATTGGTGGGAGTTAACAGTTTCACAAAGTTGGATTGATACAAATATGATTTTAACAAATATAAAATGTGTTAGTCACTCAGTCCTGTCCGAGTCTTTGAAACCCCATGGACTATAGCCTGCCAGCCTCCTCTTTCCATGGAATTCTTCAGGCAAGAATACCAGAGTCAGTTGCCATCCCCTTCTCCAGGGGACTTTCCTAACCCAAGAATTGAACTCGGTCTCTTGCACTGCAGGCAGATTCTTTACTGTCTGAGCCACCACTCTGCTAAAAAAGTAGGTGAGATAGACTGAAAGGGGATAAGATAAAAGATGAATCTGGGCTAACTAACCAGAGTTAATATTAAAAAACAAAAAACAAAATCATAAGCAACTTTAAAGTTTAACATAATTTACATTGACTGATACAGTTAACAAGTAAAAGGCGTTTACCTGAATGTATTCCTATGAGGTATATCAGTTCTAGTATTTTGGGAAAACAATTTTGTGGCATTCTCATTTCTCTTCCAGACAGACTTATCACAGAAGAGTGTTCCACATGGCCTACCATGCTTTAAAACAGAATATAGCCTCATCATGAATCCCAGCCTTGTGGTGAAGGGGCCTATAACTCAGTGAAGCTATAAGCCATGCCCTGCAGGGCCATCCAACATGGATGGGTTGTAGTGAAGAGTTCTGACAGAACATGGTCCACTAGAGGAAGGAATGACAAACCCCTTCAGTATTTTTGCCTGGAGAACCTCATGAGCAGTATGAAAAGGCAGAAAGATATGACACCAGCAGATGAGCTCCTCCAAGTTGGAAGGAATGCAATATGCTACTGGGGAGGATCAGAGGGCAATTATGAATAGCTGCAAAAAGGATTAAGTTGGTTGGACAAAACAGGAATGACACTTAGCTGTGGATGTATCTAGTGATCAAAGAAAAGTTTGATGCTGTAAAGAACAATACTGCATAGGAACCTGGAATGTTATGTTTATGAATCAAGTTGGACGTAGTCAAGCACAAGATGGAAGAGTGAACATCGACATTTTAGGAATCAGTAAATTAAAATGGACAGGAACGGGTGAATTTAATTCAGATGACCATTATATCTACTACTGTGGGCAAGAACCCCTTAGAAGAAATGGGGTAGCCCTTATAGTCAACAAATGAATCCAAGATGCAGTACTTGGGTGCAATCATAAGAACAATAAAATGATCTCAGTTCATTTTCAAGGCAAACCATTCCAATATCACAGTAATCCAAGTCTATGCCCCAACCACTAATGCTGAAGAAACTGGAGTCAAACAGTTCTCTGAAGACTTACAAGACCTTCTAGAACTAATACCAAAAAAAGATGTCCTTTTCATTACAGGGGACTGGAATGCAAAAGTAGGAAGTCAAGAGATATCTGGAGTAACAGGCAAGTTTGGCTTTGGGAGTACAAAATGAAGCAGGGCAAAAGCTAACAGACTGTTGCTAAAAGAACATATTGGTCATAGTAAACACCCTCTTCCAACAATATAAGGGATGGCTCTACACATGGATTTCACCAAAGAGTCAATATTGAAATCAGACTGATTATATTCTTTGCAGCCAAAGATGGAGAAACTTTATACACTCAGCAAAAACAAGACCTGGAGTGGGCTGTGACTCAGATCATCATCTCCTTATTGTAAAATTCAGGCTTAAACTGAAGAAAGTAGGGAAAACCACTGAGCCATTCAGGTAAGATCTGAATCAAATCCCTTATGATTATACAATGAAGATAATGTATAGATTCAATAGATCTGATAGAGTGACTACAGAACTATGGATGGAGGTTTGTAACACTGCACAGGAGTCAAAGACCAAAACCATCTCAAAAGAAAAAGAAATGCAAGAAGGCAAAGTGGTTGTCTGAGAGGGCTTTACAAATAGCTGAGGAAAGGAGAGAAGTGAAAGGCAAGGGAGAAAGGGAGAGATACAACCAACTGAACGCAGAAAATAGCAAGGAGGGATAAGAAGTCTTTGTCTCAGTACATCAGCAAATTTGGAAAACTGAGCAGTGGCCACAGGACTGGAAAAGGTCAATTTTCATTCCAATCCCAAAGAAGGGCAATGTCAAATAATGTTCAAACTACCATACAGTTGCACTCATTTCACATGCTTGCAAGGTTATGCTTAAAATCCTTCAAGCGAGGCTTCAGCAGTACATGAATCAAGAACTTTCAGATGTTCAAGCTGGGATCAGAAAAGGCAGAGGAATGAGAGATCAAATCGCCAATACTTGATGGATTATAGAGAAAGCAAGGGACTTCCAGAAAAACATTTACTTCTGCTTCACTGACTATTCTAAAGCATTTGATTGTGTGGAAAACAGCAAACTGTGGAAAATTCTTAAAGAGATGGGAATACCAGATCACCTTACCTGTCTCCCAAGAAACCTGTATGCAAGTCAAGAAGCAAATTTAGAATCAGACATGGAACAACTGACTGGTTCCAAATTGGGAAAGAAGTACGTGAAAGCTGTATCTTGTCACCCTGCTCATTTAATTTATATGCCAAGTATATCATGAGAAATGCTGAGCTTGATGAATCACAAGCTGGAATCAAGACTGTTAGGAGAAATATCAACAACCTCAGATATGCAGATGATACCACTCTAATGGTAGGAAAGCAAAGAGGGACTAAAGAGCCTCTTGATGAGAGTGAAAAAGTTGGCCTGAAACTCAACATTAAAAAAACTAAGATCAAGCCATCCAGTCCCATCACTTAACAGCAAATAAAAGGGCAAAAAGTGGAAAGAGTGACAGATTTTATTTTCTTGGGCTCCAAAATCACTGAGGACAGTGACTGTAGCCATGAAATTAAAACACACTTGCTCCTTGGAAGGAAAGCTATGACAACCCTAGACAGCATTTTAAAAAGCAGAGACAATGCTTTCCTAACAAAGGTCCATATAGCCAATGTTATGGTTTTTCTGTAGTCACATATGGATGTAAGTTGTGTCATAAAGAAGGCTGGGCACTGAAGAATTGATGCTTTATAATTTGGTGCTGGGGAAAACTCTTCAGAGTCCCTTGGACTGAAAGGAGATCAAACCAGTCAATCCTAAAGGAAATCAACCCTGGATACTCATTGGAAGGACCAATGCTGAGGTTGAAGCTCCAATACTTTGGACCCCTGATGGGAAGAGCCAACTCACTGGAAAAGATCCAGATGCTGGGAAGATTGAAGGCAAAAGGAAAAGGGGGCTGCAGAGCATGATGATTAGATAGCATCACTGACTCAATGGACATGAATTTGATCAAACTCTTGGAAATAGTGGAGGACAGAGGAGCTTGCATGCTGCAGTCCACAGGGTCATAAAAGGTTGGACATGACTTAGCAACTGAACAACATAGCAATTTCAGGGAAACAGCCTCTCTGCAGTCCCATACAATATAGTGAATGTACCTATGCATATCAATGAATTAACTCGAAGCACATATGCCCTTTTTGTGGTCCTGTATTTATAAAAGATGGGGGAATATTTAATTGTTGCTCAGTTGCCTAGTCATGTCACACTCTTTGCAACCTCATGGACTACAGCACACTAGCCTCCCTGCCCCCCACCATCTCCTGAATTTGCCCAAGTTCATGTCCATTGCATTGGTGATGCCATCCAGCCATCCATCCTCTGATGCCCTCTTTTACTTCTGCCCTCAATCTTTCCCAGCATGAGGGGCTTTTTCCAATGAGTCTGCTGGGCACATCAGATAACCAAATACTGGAGTTTCAGCTTTAGCACCAGTCCTTCCGAAGAGGATTCAGGGTTGATTTCCCTTAAGATTGATTTGTTTGACTTCCTTGCTGTCCAAGGGACTCTTAGGAGTCTTTTTCAGCACCACAGTTCGAAGGTATCAGTTATTTGGTGCTCTGTCTTCTTTACGGTCTAGCTGTCACAACTGTACGTGATCATTGGGAAGTCCACAGCCTTGACTATATGGACCTTTGCCAGCCGGGTGATGTCTCTGCTTTTCAATATGCTGTCTACGTTTGTCACTGCTTTCCTGCCAAGAAGCAAACATCTTCTGATTTCATGGCTACAGTCACCATCTGCAGTGATTTTAGAGCCCAGGAAGAGGAAATCTCTCACTACTTCCACCTTTTCCCCCTCTAATTGCCATGAAGTAATGACATATAATCCTAATGTACTGACTTACCACACTTCTTCAGTTTTGTGGATAGCAAAAATTGTAGTATTTAGAAATTTTCACTTCTGTTTTTCCCTTTCACTATTTTTCAGTATTAAAATAATATTGAAACATTCTTCTGGTTAATTTCACAATAGTGGAGAAAGACTGTGGTTGGTGGCTTGTAAAGGCAAATTTTTATGTGCCAAACCAATGCATTAGGGGTAACCACACATATTCTAAAAACCACTAGAAATTTCTATTAAATTCCAAAAGGAACAAGATGGTGGAGGAGTAGGTGGATGTGGAGT